GCCCAAACAGAGGAAGGAAAATAAGATGGGAGGAGCTGTGATCTGGACGGCGTTCGAGGTGCTTTTCATCGTAGCAATAATGTTAGCATTTGGAGTAGTTTCTGCTATGGTCTTGGAAACTTTCCGGAGAAGATTCAATCACAAGTATAGTATTTGCTCTTTTATCTTTTGGTTTTTTCTTCTATACTTCGTCTACCTTTTCCTACCAAGACCTGCGGTGAATTCGACTTTAATGTTTCTTATTCTAATTCTCCGATCTTTCTACAGTTATTTTTTTTTCTGTGGTTGCATTAATTTGTGAGCATGTTATATTGCTGTTTGCAGCCACGTTGAAGCTCCTCCTGTTTTCGAGGATCCTAATTCGTTGAACCAGGTAATTTCGAGCACACAAAGATCTCTTGTTCTCTAGGGGAAAGTTACATTTTAATGCAATTTTATACGGAAATATAAGGCTTTTGCATTAGTTCTTAACTAGGGAGTTGGATGCTTCTAGCATGCTACAACTGACTATCAATATATGGAAACTATTTATCATGACGACTTTATAAAGTAGAGAGAACTCATCTGCAACTTATAGTTCAATTGTTGTCTCTGTCTCTTCTACTCTTTCCCTTTCCGTTAATTTCCTGTTGAACTCTAGGAACATGTTTCAATTCCTCAGGATGCAATTCTGCCGCTAATTGGGGAGATTGATTTGGAGCCAAAGGAATACTGGTTTAGGGGTCAACATTACAATTATTATTATTATTTTGGGGGTTTGGGGGATAAGTGATCAACATTACGAGCTGATAGTGGTGTAGTTGTAACTTAATGAGTCATATCTATGTTCAGTAAATTGACTATTATATGTCTTCCCTTCCAGGTTCCTTGTCCTCATATTTTTGATTCCGCTGAGAAGTACATATCTTTGATTGTTCCCGCTTACAATGAAGAAAATAGGCTTGCTGGAACTCTTGATGAAACCTTAAAGTGAGCAGAGGCTTAGCAAATTTTATTTTATTTGTTCTCTCTCTCTCTCTCTCTCTCTTCCATTTCTAATTCCAGTATTCATTTTAAGATAATTTTTTCTAGTATTTTGTATCTTCAATGGATGGTATTTTTGATTAGTTATTGGGAATATGATTTGATCTGATATGCATCATAACTTTGATCCTTTTGCTAGTTATCTTCAACAGCGTGCGGCAAAGGACAAGTCTTTCACATATGAGGTAAAATTATAGAACTTGTCTGTTTTCTGCATTTAAATGTATGAAGTTGATTGATTTTATCAGCTTCTGCATCTCAAAAAGACTTGTAAGTAAAACTGTATAAACAATAGGTTTCATCTATAAAAGGTAACTTAAATCTTGTAAAGACAAGGGCAGATAGTGGAACTGCTGCTGTTGCAGAGTGGAGGAGTATAGTGAAAGAAGTTTTTTTGAGCACCCAGTTGTGATGTGGTTATGTTTTTTGCTACTTTCTGAAAGGTTGCTTGTTGTAGTGGTGAATAAGCTATCATCATTTTATGTTTTTCTTGATGAAAGAAATGTACAAATAGAACCTTACTGCTCTGCTAATTTGGATTAGTGATTCAAAAACAGCTATTACAGTTGTAATTGCAGCAAATTTTGCCAACAGTTATGCTTTTTACAAAGATAATTTTTAAGAAAACCTGTGTTAGTTATTGAGTATGACTGAGGAGTTATCCTCGATTGCCAAATCTGAAGGGAAATTGAAGCTGTCAGTCTGCTTTACCAAATCGTTCCACTTTCAAGTTTCTTTTGAATATGATTTTTACAGTTCCTACCAAACAAAGTGAACTCAAGAGCAGCAGTGTTCAATTGTGGATTGGCTTTCCTGTGGTGGATGTTGTTGTTAAATGGATTTCAATTAGCAGAGATTTGCATGTTCCTTTTGCTGACTAAGGGCCTGTAGTTGAGGTGAAAGTGAATCTTGGTGGAACCTTTATAGCTTGTGGCATGCAATACGCTGACTTGCTCCTGTCAGATTTATATATTTTTGGATTGTACAATGCCTCGTTCCAAAGTTCTTATTTATGAGTTAGTTTGAGGACAATGCAGTAAAAAGAAGGGAATATGATACTCTTGTCCTTTAAAGTGCTACATTGGCTTGATATTTCATGCTTTCTATATCATCCGAGTGACTCTACTCCTGTCTGGATGAATTTATGTTGGATTAGGTGATAATTGTTGATGATGGAAGTGCTGATGGAACAACAAGGGTAGCTTTTGATTATGTCAAAAGATACTTGGTAGAGAACGTTAGAGTAATTCTTCTGGGAAGGAACCATGGGAAGGGAGAAGCTATACGAAAAGTGAGTCCAATCGAGCTATCTATCCATCCTTAACTATTTATGGTGATGTTACTTCTTTTCTCTCTGTTTGTAATTTGACCTCTAGTAGCAACTGATTAAAGCTTTTTGCTTCTGTGAAAGCATTGTAAAACAGGGAATGCTGCACTCTCGTGGTGAAATTCTTCTAATGCTTGATGCTGATGGTGCAACAAAAGTAACTGACCTTGAAAAGCTTGAAAATCAGGTAGGTAGTTGGGTATGACTTCAAACAACTTGTGCTCAGTTAAATTTCTCATGTATTTATATTATTGTCTTTTGTTTCCCTATAGCTGAGTTTTTATGATATATCTAATAATAAGCCATCAGATCATTGCAGTTGCTAGGAAGGGACATGAATTTGGACAATCTATAGCTAGTGATTCAACATTAAGAATAGCAGATGTCCTAGTTGCTGCAATTGGTTCTCGTGCTCATCTCGAGGAACAGGCTCTGGCCACAGTTGAGTCTTGTTAATTTTTTTTTATGCAATGTTAATATTGTTCCATCAAATATGATTGTACAATTTCTAGGCAAGTAAAAGCTGTTTTAATTGTGCTTCAGAGGAAGTGGTACCGCAATTTTTTGATGAAGGGTTTCCACGTTGTGGTTATGTTGGCTGTTGGCTCTGGTATCCGGGATACACAGGTTAGATTATGGTCCATAAATTGATTTAAGTTTTCTCCATCTTTGTCTCTTGATTCCCTTCTCAAAATTGCAGGATTATGCTCTTCATTTAGTTTTAACTACTTGCTCTTTTGCCAGTGTGGTTTTAAGATGTTTACTAGGGCTGCTGCCCGGAAGCTTTTCACAAACATCCGTTTGAAAAGGTACTATTAGTTTTTTTCCATCTTTGACTTTAATCTGCTAACTAGGAACCTGGCTTTCTCCTTCAATTATGGTAGTAGTGCACTACCACAAGTTTTTTTATTTTTTATTTTTTTGTGCTTTGGATAACTAGCATTTCCTCTTAAAATTTTGAATAATGATTTATTGTTCCCTCTCATATTTGCTTGGTCTTCATGTCATACTGAATATGACTGGTTATTTTTTCTACAATCTGTTAGGCTTCAGTTCATAAAGACAGGAACACTACCATTTTGTGATACTGGATTGATCTTTTATGTGATGTGTACAACTTGGGTGTGGGTTAATTTGAAGGTTGAATGAAAGGGAGACAAGTGTGTCTCCTTTGCATAACATACTGGAGCTGTTCAGATTGTGCTATTTGAACTTTATTCATGTATACAGTATCTTGGCACACAACAAATTAGTGAAGAGTGTAGAATTCTTAAGCATCATTTGTTCAACATATGGATCCAAATTTGTGAGAAGATACAGGAAATAGATGAGAGTCAGAATGAGAGTGAGTTAGAGACATGCTTTTCAAATATTGCTGAACTTAGTAATCTAGCCTGGAACAAGACTCGATTGCAAGGCTATTGAGGCAAAGAGGACTAAAACCTCATGCTTCTAGTTTCCATTGCCATCATCATCATCATATATTGATAGTCAATGTTCCCATCTTAAATTAGTAACAATGGACTCTGGGATTTAAGGACATGATTGCTAGGCCAGCCCATTTCAGTTGCTTATGGAGTGATGCTGCATCTGTTTTGATTGAATTCAGGTTCTGTTTTCTGGATGAGTGCACAATTGTCCTGAAACATGCCCTACGCTTAGATGTCTCATAATGTAAAAGGTGATATGGTTCTTGTTTGCCTAATATAGTAATCTTTCAAGGATAGGTATTCTGAAGAAATAGGAAATTGGAAGGTGTTTATGTCTTGGTTGACGAGATTATGAATTTGTCTAAATGTAAGATGCTAAGGACAAAAGAATTGCCTTTAAGATCTGAAATGAAATTGCTTCAATGGAGGTTAAGATTAAACTCATATAGATGCATTTTGTTTGTATATCTGTACTTCTTGTTTTACCATTATACTGTTATAACTTTGATTTTTTTTCCTCTTGCCTTCTCTTTTGCAAGTCTGACTTTTCCCATGCGGTAGCTAAATTACAATTTCTATTACAGGTGGTGTTTTGATGTGGAATTGGTCTACTTGTGCAATACATTTCATATCCCAATGGTCGAGATATCTGTAAATTGGTCCGAAATTCCGGGATCAAAGATTAACATGACAAGTATTCCCAACATGTTATGGGAGATGGGACTGATGTCTTTGGGGTATAGATCTGGTATTTGGAAGATCTATGGCTGAGTTTGCAGCCTGGGATAGATGCATCAGGGAGTTGTAGTATGAGTATCTCATATCTTAAACTCAGAAGAGAAAGGCTTACTCGGACATACGTAAGTAGGTAGCTGGAGGTCTTGCTTTTCTTACGTCATAGGTTTTTGCAAAGTGATCTGATCAAATTTGATATAAAACTAACTGATTAGCACTCAGATTTGTCTTTTTCTTTTCTTTTCTTTTCTTTTTAAATTGATTTTACTCTGGGATAACTCGCGAGGGATAACAACGGAGTTTTGTATGGACTGGGGCAATGTTGGGGCCAAGCAAGAGTGCTCCCCTGTTGTTTCTGAAAATCCATTGTATGCCATACTAGTAGCGCTATTTGCTTGAAGTCCATTATACGTCATACTTGTGACATGTGCTCTCGTTCTTTTAAAAGAAATATTGCCCTTGATTCCATTGGACATGACATTTTTGGCTAGGCCGCAAGCGATTGTAGATGCAATTTTCACCAAAAACAGAAAAAGGGAAAAAGGCTGGTAGAGTAAGCTTAAAGAGCGATTGGCAACTATATCAATGGTTCTTACTTCGCAAGACCGCCCATGGAACGATTGAAGGAGGGGAAAGAATTTGAGGTGAATAAGGTACTAGTGATGCTAGCCGGCAGCCGCTACGTTTCCTTCGTAAGCCTATTGTCCTGGAAGGTTAAAAGATAGTGGCAAGCGAAACTGGAGTACGTGGCATATGTTGCTTTCTTCAAAATGCGGAAAATTTAGGTAAACGAATCCGGATGGTTCGATTTTTCACGGTTATGTTCTACGTGCAAATTAGACTATTCACGCGCGAAAACAGGGATGACGATTTGGGAGGGTAACTTTATTGACTTGGAGCATCCATAGTAATAACCTCTACATCCTGATTAGAAAAAAAAGGTCAAAAAAAAGAGTTGCATTTACCATAAAGCGTTAGCCGGGAAGCAGACATTAACGTAAAGACAAGCCAAGCCATCGAAACTGACATATTCACTTCCAGGTTGATATGGCCGTATTTTTTCTGACAGTTATCGACAAAAGTTTAGCATTTTAAATTCTTTTCTATTGGCATAAATTTACTTGTAAAGCAACTTTATGTACCTCCGATTACATGTGCAAATCCACTTTATAGATTAGTTGATGTTAGTTAATCGTTTTTGTAATGGAGTAGTTGCATTTCATTCCATGTTACGTAAAAGACTTGAATGAGATCAATCTTTAAAGGCTCATTTCCATTACATAAATGATTCGTTAATCTTGAAAAGACCGACATGGATGGTCATTTCTTGCATGAATTCAAAAGGCAAGCGTCGTTCTTCTTCAAGGACAAAATCAAGGTTGCCCGATTGGCTCTTCTTGATGTTACACCAGCTCAACTGTATGGTTTTATTTGTATGCATCTGTAGATAATATATCTTTTTTTTTTTCTGCCGTTTTAGTCTGTTCGATTAATTTGGCTTGTCAATTTCTTTTTTTTTTGGGCTGAAAGATCGACAGAAGAAGCCACAAATGGAGATTCCTCAGCACCGGACGCACGTACGATGAGACTTATATCACGTGCTGCCTTTGAAGTTGATGATTATTGGAGAATCGTTGATGTTCTGCATAGAAGGTTTCTCCGTTGGTTGGCTAAATGATTTTGTCTGGCTTTGCATAAGCTTCACAAGTAATCATGCAGAAGTTCTTTATATAAACGAGTTCTACGCGTCTTTGATTTGATGCAGGTTGCAGAACTATGATAGACACAATTGGCGAGCGGCCTACCAGGCGATGATATTGCTGGAACACCTCCTCACGCATGGACCAGCAAGAGTTGCAGAGGAGTTTCAAGGTGATCGAGATATCATCAGAGAGATGGCAAATTTGTCTTACATAGATGAGAAGGGGTTCGTTTAATTAATCCCGTGGCTTGTTGTATAAAGCAAATAAGATATGATTATTGGAGCTATAAAATCATCTCCTATGCAGGTTCGATTGGGGATTAAGTGTGCAGAAAAAGGCTGAAAGAGTGCTGAAGCTGATCAAGGACGGGTCATTTCTCAAGGAAGAAAGAGCAAGAGAGCAAAAATTAACAGTGGGGATTAAAGGGTTTGGGAGTTTCTGTGAACGATCAATCTTAACAGATGAGAGTTCGAAATGTGCATATTCCAATAAATATTTGAGATGTCATTCTCACTTTTGTGAACGTCAAAGCACTGAAGATGCTCTGTTGGCTGCGGACGACGAAAGGGTTCCAAAAGCACAGGAGATTCGTAATAAGCACAGAGATTCAACAACCGAAAACCCACCACAAAATTCCAACGGCAACAGAACCTTTGAAGAGGATGATCATCCCTTCTACAGCAAAGAAGATCAAGCTCTAGTCTCCCTGCTTTCCTCAGGGTGAAATCGAAGTCATGTAAACACTATGATCTTGTAGTTGACATGTCATATCTTTTGGTATTATATAGCAGAATCAGAGTTGTACGATAAGATACAGTCTTATGCTTTAAAAAAGTGAAAATCAGGTTTTATCTAGAGTTAAATCAGTTCAATGTTCACGGTAGGGAAAAGTTTCGAGTGAAATCCCAATCCGAAAAACAAACAAAAACCAAGAGGCAGGGCTTCACCAGATCTATAACCAGTGTAGATGCCAAAAAAAAGCTCGCACATTCTCAGAGAGAGAGAGAGAGAGAGAGAGAGAGAGATCAGATAGAAACAGTTGAAACTTCTACATTGAACACAATAAAACAGTCGGAACATCCAGCAATCAACTCCTCGCCATCTCAAGGCTATCAACCCAGAATGAGAATCACAAGTTAAGAGAACAAAGCTAAAATATAATCTTGCAAGCTGCATATCTGACCCGCTACTAAAATATCATTCAACACTTTCCCGCAAAATTAGAAGCATTTTCTATGCACGATTGAGGGACCAGATTCATCATATTCTGACTTTGCAATCCACATCTGCAAACAAAGCAAGCAAAATATTAACCAAAGAATTCCTAATTAAAGCAAACAATCATCTTGTTTTGTATGTAAGGAAACAAACCTGTTGGAAGGTGCTGAGTGATGCCAAGATGGATCCTCCAATCCAGACACTGTACTTTCTCTCAGGTGGTGCCACCACCTTGATCTTCATGCTGCTGGGAGCTAATGCTGTAATTTCTTTGCTCATCCTATCAGCAATGCCAGCAAACATTGTAGAACCACCACTGAGTACAATGTTTCCGTAAAGGTCCTTCCTTATATCAACATCGCACTTCATGATGGAGTTGTAAGTGGTTTCGTGGATTCCTGCAGCTTCCATTCCAATCATTGAAGGCTGGAAGAGGACCTCAGGGCATCGGAAGCGCTCATTACCAATGGTAATCACCTGCCCATCAGGCAATTCATAGCTCTTCTCTACAGAAGAACTAGTTTTTGAAGTCTCTATCTCCTGCTCATAATCAAGTGCAATGTATGCCAGTTTTTCTTTAACATCTCTCACAATTTCCCGCTCTGCTGTGGTGGTGAAAGAGTAACCACGCTCAGTGAGGATCTTCATTAGGTGATCAGTGAGATCACGACCAGCCAAGTCAAGACGGAGGATGGCATGTGGCAAGGCATAACCCTCATAGATGGGAACGGTATGGCTGACACCATCACCAGAGTCCAACACGATACCTGCAACAAGATCATGACAGCAAAGCATTGGTTTAACATAGAAAGAAACCACATTTGATATTCATGACCTTTTCTGAGAATTTCCTATTGACTCTAAAGCATCCAAAAGCTGGTCCCAAATAGATTTATGAGAATTCACATGATTACACCGCAAAAAATCTCTACCAAAAACATTCAAAATTATGGCATTTTCTGAGAGAGACTTTTCACAGCATATCTGGAAGGACATTAAGGAGGTATTCCACAAGCAGCACTTTCTTAAGCCATCCAGATAACATATTTGGCCTGGACTTTATGTTGTATAAACATTAGCGATCTATAGCAGCTAATTAGTGTATCCTATAACATATGCAGTCATGAAAATTTTCAGATTTATTTCCAGATTCCTTTTTTTTTCCTTTTCACATTCTTCACTCCTTTTTTTTTGTTGGGGGGGGGGTGTGGTGGTGGTGGTGGAGGGGTTGAGGGATTGGTTGAAGACATTTAGAAACCAAAAGGTGTAAATCAAATGCTGAAAAACAAAATGCTTACCTGTTGTCCGACCACTAGCATATAGGGACAGAACAGCTTGGATGGCAACATACATAGCAGGAGTGTTGAATGTCTCAAACATTATTTGAGTCATTTTTTCACGGTTAGCCTTAGGATTTAGTGGTGCTTCAGTTAAGAGGACAGGGTGCTCTTCAGGTGCCACACGAAGCTCATTGTAGAAAGTGTGATGCCATATCTTCTCCATGTCATCCCAATTGCTAACAATACCATGCTCAATTGGGTACTTAAGAGTCAAAATACCTCTCTTTGATTGAGCTTCATCACCCACATAGGCATCTTTCTGGCCCATCCCAACCATCACACCAGTGTGACGGGGGCGACCAACAATACTTGGGAATACAGCGCGTGGAGCATCATCTCCAGCAAATCCAGCCTTGAAAAATCAAAAGAGACAGTAAAAAAAATCATAAAAAAAAAAAATTGACACTGAAGATGAGGGATAGAGCACAAAAGAAGCTCAAATCACCAAGGAACATGATCGTAAAAAGTTGGAACTCTAGTTCTGCAATAAGAAATACCAAAATAAATCCTGTAGTACCTTAACCATTCCTGTCCCATTGTCGCACACAAGTGGCTGGATATCCTCTCCTTCGGCCATCTTATGCTACCTCCTGTACAAAATCACAGCTTTCTTAAGACAGTACACTCCTACCAGATATTCTTTTGTTTCCGTATTTATCTTTTCCCATTCTATAAATAAATACAAAACTATTTGAAAGAAGCAGTTTAGTAAAATAACGAAATGGTTTTATTCGACCCTCCCTCCTTTCCGTTTTGCTTCCAGTACGGTATGGGCTGGGAACTCAGGAACCTCATAAGGAGGACTGGAAATAACAGAATATAGAATATTATGCACCGGATACAATGAACTTTATCTTTTTTGCTACTTTTTTGGGAGGAAGTAGGTGATCCAACGTGTCACGCACAGAAAAAATGAATAAAAATTCCTGAATTATGACATAAAAATAAAATGTGGAAACAAATATTAGAGAGTGAAACACATAAAACAGCTCAAGTTTCAAAAGAAAAAAAGAAATTTTTTTAAGAAAATAGCTATCACATCTCATCAAATACATGCAACATACAAATATACATAAAAAGAGAGGAAAAAGAGAAGAAAGAAAAGGAGTGAGCTTCAAAAGAACTGAGAAGCACATCCATGTACAATTCTGCACATAATCATCATGTAAACACAATATACATTCGAATCAATTTTACTTTCGAGATTAAAGAAAATGGCAAAGAATCGAATGCCACAAGTTAGATCGGATCAAAAAGCATAAATAACACAACCAAAGGCTCACAATTATCAAAAAATTGTTCATTAATCACCCAGTCTTTCTCGAAAAGACTCAATAAAAATGCTATTAATGCACAGAACCCACATATCCTAAAACAAAAATGCAAGCAAAAGATCCATTAAAACCACAAATAGACTACCATTTTAGCGACATGCATTTCGCATTTCACCCAAAAACTCGACGTTCCACAAATATATGCCAATCAATAGTAGCATAAAAAATCTCTTAAACACCACATCACGGCGAGAAAAGGAAAAAAGAAAACATAAAAATTAATTCAGAAACTCGCTTATGCATAAGAAATGTGATCTCAGCTGGATCAATCAGAGATCAAGAGCTACACTGTACAAAAAAAGCCAAATGCAAAATGAATTAAACAACAAATGCACCGATTCAAAAGTTTAAAAAATCAAGATATAAAATGAGGAGCAATTGTACAAAATGAAAGGAAATAGTATACCTTTTCGAGTGCGTAAAACAGATGATTGAGGGCAAACGAAAAGGAGATAATAATAGAACAGAAAATGGTGGGTGGAGGAAATGGCCTCCTCCTCCTCCTCCTCCTTAGCACTGTGGATTTGGGGAAAAAAATGTACAGCTAAATGAGTTGCGCTCCCGTGTTCTCACTTGGGAACTGAGAAATTTGAGGGATTATAATGAGGAAGGGCGACGAATCTGGACCGTTGGATGGCGCCCAAAACTCCAACAGTCTGGATGTGCGGACAGGGATGACACGTAGCGATCGTGGGGGCTATAATTTCTTCCTCTTCTTCGTGGTGTCCACTGCCGCCTCCTTTTCCGCTTTTTCTTTCATTTTTTCTCTCTTTTTCCGGTTCCCCTCAGACCCCTACCTCTCCCCTTCCCCCTTTCTACATATTAGTACCAGTAAATCAATTTATTATTATTATTATTTTATTGTAATAGTACTACTATTTTTTGCTACTAATATCTCTTTCTATTCTAATTGTATATCCTATTTTTAATTCGGAGCTTGGAGATTATCTCCCAAAAACATTTTTTATTTTGATTTGGACGTTGGTTTTAAGTTGACTGGGGAAATGATTGGGATTTAAAATGGACTAGAGACAGAAATTAGTTGAACGTGGACATGTTAACGTACTACAAAATTTCTCAATTTCGAAGAGGGAAATGAGGGAGGTGAATTTTGAGAGGCAATTATTACGGTTTTGTTTGTGGATATTAGTCAATTTCTCCCGCAACTATTTTGTGGCTATTTACTTGCTACATCTATGGACCTCACATGTCCTATTTGGAAGTGGATTTAATTAAATGCCCTTTACCTCCTATCTAATGGGAGGCTCTCTCGACCCATCAAAATTTGTTGCAACCCCAAAACCAAAGCATACATAATAGTTAGGGTTAATTCCACTTTGTCCCCCCAAACTTTGGACGATTACCCACTTAAGTCCCTAAACTTCAAAATGGGACACTTAAGTCCCTAAACTTATAAATACCTTCCACTTAAGGAAAATTGTTAACAAATCCTGAATGTCGTTGGTGGTCGAAGTGTCCCATTTTATAAGGGTTTAGGGTTATAAGTGTCCCATTTTATAAGTTCAGGGACTTAAGTGGGAGGTATTTATAAGTTTAGGGACTTAAGTGTCCCATTTTGAAGTTTAGGGACTTAAGTGGATAATCGTCCAAAGTTTGGGGGGACAAAGTGGAATTAACCCTAATAGTTAGTATTAACAAGCACCTCAGAAACTACTCTGCGAATTCTTTTTCATCTTTAGTGGAGTAGCTTCTCTGTGAAATAAGCAACTCTTTTTTGGACAAATGCTGCATTACAATTTACACTTGCATTATTATCATTGGCAATCTCCTAACATTTTTTTTTTTTTTGTGTCTAAAGGTTTCTCAGTTTACATTAGTGGGGATAACAAATGGTCTTTTTGACAATTTGTGAATAGTAGCATGTTTCTATATGCCATATATGCTCCTCCTACCGAATTACATTGTATGACTGTTTCTTGGTTATACTCAATGTGGGGAATGG